CCATTGTTGTAGCCTTGGGTCCAACTATCTTGAGTGACTTTTTCATTAATACTCTACTAAACATCATGTCGTTTTTCGGGGATTGGTCCCAACTAATACATGTCCAAAGTAGTAAAATGAAACCTTACTATCCTTGCTTCTAAGGAGCAATTTGACTATACTTCTTCCAAGGCAGATTTGTACATTCTTCTGGCAGTTCATGGTACTTTTCATATCCTTTGTCAGCACCATCATTCAAATGCAATTCTCAGATCTTCCTTATTCATTGTCAGACTTTCACATGTATCGTGGCAATTAAAAAATAGCATGACTTGGGTCGGGCATCCTTAGTCCTCTAATTGACATCTTTGCTCTTTAACACTTTGAAGAGGTCATGTGCAGAATATTTGCCCAATACATCATCTGGTTTCTTGACTCCAGTTTCCATGAGCTTTGATTGTGGATCCAAGTAAAATAAAAACCTTTTGTTCATCATGATGGTGTTTATTGGCTCACATATAAAAATTGGGGGGATTTCTTTATGTAGAAGTGTATAATCCATATTGAAGGTGGTCGTCTTTGATCGTCATCAGCAAGTGCTTCAAGTTCTCTCCAATTTCAACAAGCAAGCTTGTGCCTTCTGCATATCACAGGTTGTTAATGAGTCTTCCTCTAATCATGGATGCCATGTTCTTAGCTTCTCAAATTACTTGCTCAGCACACAGAATGAATAATCTTGGTAAAAGGATACAACTCTGACACACTTTTCTTGAGTTTCAGCCATGCACCCTCACCTTATTCCATTCAAACCACTGCCTTTGGGTCTATGTACAGATCCTGAATGAACACAATTCAATAGTCTGTAGTTTCCATTCTTCACAATGGTATCCATAATTTATGATCCACACAATACAGATTAACGTCTTTCTCTTATTTCAGTCAACATCTAAATGATATTAGCAGTGATATCTTTGTTCCACATCTTCTGAGTCCAGTTTGAATTTCTGGCAGATCCTGAAATGTACTGCTGTCGATGTACTGCTAGAACTGTTTGTGAATTATCTTCAGCATAATTTTATATGAGTGTGGCATTACTGATGGCATTCAATAATTTCTACACTCTGTAAGATTACCATTCTTTGGAATTGGCGCAAATATGAATCTCTTCTAGTCAGTTGTCCAGGTAACTATCTGGCTTTATTTGGCCCTGACCTTATTCTGATAGTAATCTGGAGCCTTTGTCATCTGTTTGATGAAATGTTGATGTTTCATCAATTCTTTTTAAGATCATTTTATTGGGGGCACATACAGTTCTTATAACAAACTATACATCAATTGTATCAAGCATATTTGTACATATGTTACCATCATTATTTTCTAAACACTTACATTCTATTTGAGCCCTTAGTATCAGCTCTTCTTTTTACCCTCCCACCCCCCTCCACCCTCATGATCCCCTGATAAATTATAAATTATTATTGTTTTCGTATCTTACACTGACCACTGTCTCCCTTCCCCAAAGGTTTCTTCCCCTATGCTCTCCCCACCTTCTCCCAACCCTGATAGAGGACAATACTGGGGACACATGGTGGAGAGTGAATCCAGTCCCATTTTTACGTCCTGAGCTCTTATCTGTACCTGTGTACATGCTCCGGCCCAGCCTGCAGTAAAAGGCAGGACTGGGGTCATGATAGTGGGGGGTGAAGAAGCCTCAAGGAACCCAAGGAATATTGTGTGTTTCCTTGGTGCTATATTTCCATGGTTGACTCATGCCTTCCTTGTGACCCTTCTGTAAAGGGATGTTCCATTGTCTACAGATGGGTTTGGAGTCTCTTCTCTGACCCCACTCCTTCTCAACAATATGTTTTTTTGTTTGTTTTGGGTCTTTTGGTGCTTTTTACCTCATCCCGTCAACATCTCGTGATCACACAGGCTGGTGTGCTTCATCTGTGTGGCCTTGTTGCTTCTCTGCTAGATGGCCCCTTGTTTCACTTCAAGCCTTTAAGACCCTAGACACTATACTTTTGATAACCAGGCACCATCAGCTTTCTTCACCACATTTGCTTGTCTTCAGCAATTGTTCAGGAAGGCTGAGCATCACAGAATGCCAAGTTGTTAGAAGAACGTGTTCTTGTGTTGAGGGAGGGCTTGAGCAGAGGCCCAAAGTCCATCCACTTCCTCAATGTATTGCCATATAAATATAGGCACCTATTCCAATACTTCTATTT